CTCTGGAGCTGACTGGCATCCCCATGCATGACAGCCACATCCTCCAGCCCAGCACCGCTGGGAGAGAGTGGTAATGCCTGGTGCAGCATTAGCCCCTCACCCTGGGAGCCCTGCCAGCGTCCCCGTGGAAGCTGCTGGCAATTTACGTGGAGCTGATTGTAGGCTTGCATGAAAATGAAGCGTGCTGGAAATCCACGGTCTGAACACAGCTGCCTCTGCAGCGTGTGGAGGGGCAGGCAGGATGCAGGCATCTTCCAGGGCATCGAAGGGCGGCTGTGTAAGCCCACACCCCCAGGGCAACCAGAGGGGCAACAGCTCTGTGCACCTCCCCTGGGCTTGGGGCTGGGTTTGGAGAGCAAATGGTGCTGGAGGGAGGAGTAAGGATGCACCCCTGATGGTATCACCCTCTGCACCAACTACCGTCGGGGCGGGATGGCTGGACCCGGGAAAATGCAGCAGGTTCCACAGCAGGAAGAGCTGCCCCCTCCCCTTGCTGGCACCCAGTGACCCCGGCCCCGTACTCACCCTGCAGCCTTCGCCTCTGCCATCGAGTTTCTCCCTGAGGAAAATTGAGTGTTGTCCTTTCAACCTCACAGGATTTTGGAAGAGGGCAGCCAGGAGCTGAAGGCTGGGAGACGTGGGTCCTAGGGTAGTGGGCTGGCTGAGACTCATGGGAAAGCTCTGGCGCTGGAAAGGGTTAAATTGCACATAAAGACAGAAAAGAGAGAAAAAGAACAGATGGATTGGTCAGGTCAGTGCCAGCATGGTCGAGCCTGGCTTTGCTCTGTGGAGTAAAGTCCTGTCCCACTGCAGTGAGGCAGGTTCCTGAGGTCCATCAGTGTGTACAAGCAGTGCTTTCTGTTACTGGTTTTGGGTAAAGTGAATTGCTTTGCCTCTTTGGCTGGTGGGGAGACCAGCAGCTGTTCTTCCTTTGCATCCCTGCACTCTCCACCCTACCTGGTCCTCACCCATGGAAATGTCCCCAGCCCTTAAACGGCTGCAGTGGTCCCATGGCCTTTTGATTTCCAAAGCAGTGATGACTCCGACTCTCTGTCCCTGCTCCCGACACCCCTGAGACCGGCTGCAGTTCTCCAGTATTCCCACTATTGTTTGTTGGTCTTTTCTCTATGCCTCATAACAGGAAAGAGCATTGTTATTAAGGGCAACGGTGAAAAATACTGCTGGTTGTGCTTTCCCCTGATTCACCCTGTGGGGCTGCTCCGAGCTGAGCTCTTCTGAGCTCCAGTCCTTCTAATGTGGGGGGTTATGATTTTGTGGAGTTGTTTGTTGGCCTTTTTCTGTTAACGTGGGTAGATGACTGGGAAGACTACGCAGAAGGGAAGTGGGGAGAAGAAAGAGCTCGGTTTGTGCTCGGGGTGAAATTGGCTGCCAGGCTTTTGGTGTACAGGTAAATCTGTGCCCACCTGTCTTGTGTGGTATTAGTTGATCCAGATCATCTGCCAACAGCAGATGTTTATACATCTGACTATGGGGAAAAAAAAATGTTGGAAGGGGCCCCATGCGATCCTTGGTGCATCACTTCCGTGAAGGTGGGCAGGCTAAGAAGAGAAGTAGAGAAAGTAAAAGCGATAACTGATCATTCAGTGCTCGAGCAACTCTTATCTGATTGTGAGCAGAAACCACAGCAGTGGTGCTGCGTAGGACAGGAAGGAGATCTCTGGATTTTAAAAGGCCAAGAAACATCCCCGTGCTTGAGTCTTCCTCTCTTGCTTCCCCACGGTTCCTGGGTCTCGTGTACCTGCACTGTTATGGTACTGGCTGCTGTTCCCTCCAACCTCCTGCACCCTTGGGAGCAAATCCAGCCGGGAGACTCGTTGTGGTTGATTTTAGCAGTGGGGGAACTTCACCCTGCAGGGGTGAGAACAGTCTGGAGCTGCACGCTGGGTCCCTGTCCTGGGGCTTTCGCCAAGCCCTGCTGGCACCAGACGCCTGCATATTTGGAGTTTGGGAATGGAGGTCCCCTGGCTGCCCCTGACCCCAGCGTGGGCTTTGGATGCAACTCCTGTAGCAGGATCAGGGCCTCTGGGGAACCAGGGGAAGGACCTCGTCTACCTCAGAAAGCTGGGAGGGGGAAAGCCAGGATGTCAGTGACCCTGACCTCTGCCTGGGGAACAGAAACCCATTTTTCTTCCCCTTTTCTTTCACTCCATATCACTATTCTCGCTTTGAGATAGGGCAGCACTTTGAGAAGTTGTTGACGTTGTTCTTCTCTTCTCCCTTTCAGCTGCACAGGAAAGTCCCTCTGGCCTGTTCTCCTTGGCCAGCGCTCCCCAGCCGGCTGCAGAGCCCCGGTGTGTGAACTCCCAGTTTGCCCAGGAGCTGCACTTGGGTGTGAGTAAACAGCACAGGTATTTCTTTGTCTCTGTATGTTTGCGGAAGCATGTCTACCACACCAGGTCTGTGCTCTCCATATGTTTTTATATGCACCTGCAACTCCATTTACCAAACGCTATACCTTTGCACTCTTTATTAGGTCCTCGGAAGCTGAAAAGGCAGCCCCAGGAGCTGCAGTCTTGTATTTGCACTCATCCATGCCCCTGTGTCTCCTGGGGCAGATGCCTCTGCATTGGGTAAAGTCACGTCTGAGCCCCAGGGGAGGCACAATGCCGGGTGAGCCTTTCGGGTGGCTCCGTCCTTTGGTTCACCTCCTCACGTTCTCCTTTTGGTGGCTTGAGACTCTGTTTCTGGGACAGGCACAAGGGCACACGCCGCAGGAGAGCATGAGCACAGCGTCTTTGCTGGTACACTGGGAACAGGGAGTCAAAGGACTCCTTATCTATGGATGGAAAGTTTCTGGGCTGCTTATCAGGCACTGCCTAGAAGTTAGATTAAAGTCTCAGGAGCAGCAGTTTGCGCCGCGGGCAGACCGCATGCTTCTGCGTTCTCCTTATGCTCAGGTGGGTGAATGCCTCTGGGCAAGGCGGTGTGCGGGTGGCTCAGCCCTGCGGGGACACGGGTGCCCCGGAGGGGACTGGTGCCATAGCCCAGAACAGAACTCGCCCGCCTTGCACCCATCCTTCTCCCTCACTGTCCCCGAACCCCTCTGAGAGGCCTGACCCCAGTGACATGCTTGGGGTGACGCTGAGGGAATTTTTGACTCTAACTTGACATGGGTACTTGTATTTCTAAAAAAATTTGCCAACCTAATTTGGGCTATTCTTGCTCCTTTCCAGAGATGGGAATGGAACTTGCTGTTGGATGAATTTGCTGCTAATGCAAGCCGACAGCCGAAATGCTGAGGGTGCGTCGTTCGGACGGGAAGGGAAACTGCTGAGCGGCTCTGCTGGGAGCTGGGGACCCAGATCTGGGTTCCTGCAGGGACTTGCAGCCTGCCTGCAGGTGCCCTAACTCTGTTCCCCGGGGCTAACACCCTGTTGCCCACCCTGTGACGGGTGGTCACCTTTCCTGAGCCCCCCTCCACAGCTCTGCTGGGTGCCCAGGCTGTGCTGGCTGCCTGCTACCAGAGAGTGGGACACGGATGGCTTTTGGGAGCAGCTGCAGCTAGTGGCTGCACCCTGTTCCGACCAGCAAATTCTGATGGCAAAACTGTTCCTGTTACTCAGCAAAGCCAGGGACGTTGTGGTCCCCAGGAGCACGGGTGGCCAGCTGCTTGTGAAGCTGGCGTAGCTGGACCTGTGCTACCAGCACGGAGGGATGTGAGCTGGATCTACGCTAGTGGTGATGACTTTCTGTGTGGCTGCAAAGAGCAAGAGTTGCCTGGGCAAGGATGTCCTGCTGGGGCTTAGAAGTTCATATGCTAAAGGAAAGTCTGGACAATGTGGGGTCCCCACCTCTGCTGCCTTCTCTGGGCATTGACCTACCATCAAAGCCCCACGTGTAAGAAAGCTCTTACCTCTTGAGGGCTCCATCAGTCAGCAAGATCGTTTTCCCATTCCTCATCTCCAGTTTCAGGGGTTTACCCTCCTGCCTGCCCTGGCCCTGCCTGCAGCTCCTGTCCCTGGACTGGGCCTTCTGGAGGGGAGGCAGGCAGGAGCTCCTGGGGCCCCCAGTCCTCCGGCAGTGCAGCAAGTGCTGGTACGCCACTCGGAAGTCCCTGTTGAGTGTCCCGTAGAGGATGGGGTTCAGGGCTGAGTTGGCATAGCCCAGCCAGAGGACGATGGACATGGGTGTGCCTTTCACACTGCTGTCCCCCCACATCCCTCGGTATGTAAACACTGTGAAATAGGGGAACCAGCACACAATGAACGCTCCTAACACCACTGCCAGTGTCACGGTGGCTTTGTGCTCTTTCACCATGGGTGGCATGGGGGTGTTGCTGCTGCAGCACCACGTGTGGTTTATCCTCTTGGCTTGCTCCCTCGCTATCTTGAATATCCGGTAGTAGGTGATGCACATGATGACCAAAGGGACGTAGAAGGTGAGCAAGGCATCCACTAGCCCGTACACAGGGTTCACCTCCAATGTGCACTCCTTGTTGCAGTCAGGGACTGTGTTTTGGACTGCTGTCCCATTGGTGTTCCAGCCCAGGTGAATGGGTAGGAAGGAGACCATCAGTGAAACGGTCCAAATAACAACCAAACCTACAGCCACCCGGGAACGAGTGACCAGCTGGTTGTAACGGAGTGGGGTGGTGACAGCAAAGTAGCGGTCCAGGCTGATCATGAAGAGGTTGAGGATGGAAGCTGTGCACAGCATGACATCCAGGCTGGTGTAGATGTTGCACAAAGTGCTGCCAAAGGGCCACTCTTTGGTGAGTTCATAGAAGGCGGAGAATGGCAGCACCAGGAGGCCCAGCAGCAGGTCGGTGATGGCCAAGGAGACAATGATGCAGTTCGTCAAGCTGCGGAGCCGGCGGTCAAGGGTGACGGCCAGGCAGACGATGATGTTACCACAGAGAGTGATCACAATGAGGATGGCAAGGCAGGACCCAACCAACAGTTTCAGGGGGAAGTCCATCCTTTTTTGCGAGGTTGTATGGTTGTAACATGGATCCATAGTGTAGTCACATGGATCGAGCAGTCCTGCTGTCACTGGCTCCAAAGCTACTTGGAGTCAGCCTCTACCAGGCAGCCCTAGAGCCCCTTCCAAAGTCACCTTGGGGCTACAGTGACCTTGGAGAACATTGCAGAGTCACTTCACGTGTTCAGCCTTGTATGCTAGGAATTACATGGTCTAGGGA